GTAGCCCAGGCTGGCCTCGAACTCACAGAGATCCACCTGGCTCTGCCTCCCGAGTGCTGGGATTAAAGGCGTGCGCCACCACCGCCCGGCCAAAAGTCTATTTTCAATAAAAAAAAAAAAAATAAGTGATCTGTTTGAAAATTAGTAAGTGTTAGCTTTAAAGGCATTTCTCCAGATCCTAGGGAAAACGCAAGTGTGATGGAACTAATAAATACAAAAGTCACAGATGAATGCAAACAAAACAGATGGAAACCAAGCGAGGATAAAGGAACTAAGGAAACGACACTGAAGCTGTAGAACAGGAGCTCCGTGGCAGCCATGTATGTCAGCGCGACCAAGGCAGGGTGGGGCAGCAAACACAAGGCACATGTATATTCTAAACAGGACAGAGAAGGAGTCTTTCCAAACAGGTTTGCAGTGGATACTACAGCCAAACTCATATCGCAATGTTCATCTTACAGCCAAGATGTCTACCAAGATAAAGAAGCGGGGCATGGTGATACATGCCCATCATCCTGGCATTTCATGAGGGAGGCTGAGGAAGGTTCAAATTCATTGCCAGCCTGGGCTACACAATGAGAGAGAGAGAAAGAGAGGGAGGGAGGGAGGGAGGGAGGGAGGGAGGGAGGGGAGAACGAACACGAACACAGTTCCCACCATCTTTGAAATGTAGTGGATTTCAAATATGGTATAATAGTAACTTCTAGATACATGCGAGCAACAGCTTTTGCGGTGCTTATACTACGTTGTCCCATGTACCCTCTGGGGGTTCTTCACAGTGGTAGGTCCGAAGTCAAGTCACCTGCCCAAGCATGCCTGACCAAAGTTCCCTTCACCTTGGTGTTTGTGAGATGACTCACCTGGAAGCAGAAAAGGCAAATGGAGCAAATGACAAAGTCTTCTCTGGATGCACTCGCCGAAGGCAGCACGGATGTCATGTCATATATTCCCAGGGTGAAGAAGAGAAAGAAACCCAGCAAATGACTCCAGATGTTTACCGTCTCATTGGATAAAATAAACAAGCTACAAAGTAAACAAACACGCAGCTCAGAGTCTCACCGGCTCAGAGTGTCAGCACTCTAAGGTTGGGGGTTTGGGGGAGTCACTTAGCCTCAGCCCTATCTGGGCCTTTCTGAGATCAGAGGTACCATTTGATACTTCTGTCCTTGTCTCCCTTTTGCACTGATTCTGGGCCCTCCAGCTCTCGGTGTTCTCACTATGTCTTTCTTCCTATTGCATCACTTTTTTAGGCAGAGCCCTTGCTCAGATTGCTCACTTTCTACAGAAATGAAGTGTGCAGACAAACACTGGACGTTGGCTAGAAAACTGTCAGGAGCAGCTCCCAGAGACCCTGCTCAGTGGAAGCTGAGGCATAAATGTAAAATACCCTTTAAGCACTTGTTAAACACACACACACACACACACACACACACACACACACACACACACACACACAGTTCAGTGCATCTAGGGGAAGCAAAACACACACAGATTAACCCACTGGAAAGGTCTTGAAGACAGGCAGGCATGCCAGAGGAATTTTGCTATGCAAGTTCTGAAACCTGTTTCTAGGTGGCATGAGTTCACTCCTTTTAGGAAGAAAGGTGACTTTGTGTGTGGGTACTGTTTGTCTTCTTAAGATGTCTTGGCAGCACAGGCTGGGAGAGGGTCTATTACCCTGACCAGGCATCAGTTTCTTTATCTATAAAGAAAAGAAGTTGCCTTTGATGTTGCTGCTTGCTGCCGGCTCTATCTCAACTTTGGAAAACGGTTCTTCATTTTTACCACAAGGTGATACCATGACTGGAGATTTAAATACTCTTGAATGTCTCTAGTAAAATCATTTATTTTGTTAAACAAAAGCCCTGACTGTTGATGAGTCAGATTTTGGGGGGAGGGTAAGATTTAATTATTCTTGTTTCATGTCTGTGGGTGTTTCGCCTGATTGTATGTCTGTGTACCCCACGTGAGCCGGGTACCTGCAGAGGCTAGATGTCATCAGATCCCCTGGAACTGGAGTTACAGATGGTTGTGAGCTGCCATGTGGGTGCTGGAAATCAAAAGCAAGTCCTCTTGGAGGGTGGCCAAAGCTCTCAAGCACTGAGCCATCTCCTCAAATTTGCGGCAGCCCCCATGGTTCTCACATTGCTAGTTTTATGAGGCAAATGCAGTGAAGTCTCAAATGATCAAGAATAAGGTATATCTTGTATCTGGAAACACAGACTTTATCTTGCTTATCATCAAACACAAAGACTATCTGTAACTGGGGGAGGAACTAAAAGAACATTCTAGACACATCTAATTACAGGACTGTTTTGGCACTACCTTCTGCCTATTGCCTCAGAAGTTTTCATTTTATGAAACCCAGTATAACCTGATTAACTAAACACACTCTAACCACATCCCTTCCCAGGAACAGATTGCAGATAGAATGGATGGACACACAAAACCTCTCTTCATATGCACAATCTGTCCTAGAGACTCTTGAAGGAAAGGAGAAAAGGCAAAGACCCAACCTGGATAAGATCAATATTGTAGGAAGAATAGCCCCAATAAAGGATAAACTATTATTGTCAAAAAAAAAGCTAGGCACTCACAAATTCTGTTTATCTTCAAAACCAACAGATTAACTCTTGCTAAGAGTTGGGCTTGTTAACCTGTGTCTGTCTCAACAACTCAGTATCTCAAGTTTTATAGCCTTGAGATTTGGATTCAAGATAGCAGAATGCAGAGGACCACTGCTAGGCGGGCACAAAATATTTACAGCAGTTCGCTGTTGGCCTGCCCTTCTCCATCTCCAGAGCAGGGCCTGGATTTCTTAGGCAGTTATGAACACGAGGCACTGGGGAATGAAGAAGCAGTAATTACGACTCAATTGTGACATCCACTTGGTCATCCATTCAAGTACCAATACTTCCAAGGTAGTGCAAAAAAGAAACAATGGGAAAACACCACGTGGGGAAGACCAATAACCAGACATGATCGCTGCTTGGATGCTTCAGCAGCTGACATCTTGGAAGTAGCATGTGCCACTCCAGTGACCTGGAGTCTTTGGACTTATGCTTGCATGATGACTTTAGTACGAACAGTGACTTCAGAAAGTGGACTACTCTGAAAACTAAAAGCAAGTTTTTTATTTGCTTTTTTTTTTTAAAGAAAACAGGTTTTGGGGACTCTGGTTTTAAAGACCTAAAACAACAAATTCATTTTGTACAGAGGCTTTCAAGGTGTTCTGTTGGAGGCTGGCTTCCTCCTTTCAGCCTTCTTTGCCACAGGGCTTTTCTTTCCTACACAGCATTTCCCACAATGACTATTATGTAATAGTGTAATTATCTCTTTAGTGTCTGCCACTTATGCTAGACCCTTAGTAGCTTCATGGGAACAAGGGCCATGCCTGCCTTCGGCAGGATCTGGTTATAGTGCCTACCACCTAACAGAGGTTCCATACGCATTTGCTAGATGCTTGAAGGAATCAAGGCTCCCCACATACATATGCATAGCAATGTGGACTTGTCTGCTATTATACGGGCATTCAGCTGGCCAACACGTCTGAATTCCCACAGTGCTGGTCTAGACACAAAGCTCAGGTATACACAAAGCAGGTTCGGCCATTGTCAGTGGGGGTAGACTGAGTACCAAACGGAATAAAGGATGTAAAAGCGCTTTGTAAACAGCAAAGGGCTACTGGGGATGGCAACGATGATGACCACTGTTAGTATCATGATTTCATGGATCAAGGAGCCCCGGAGAAGAGACAGGGCAACAGAACGATGAAAGGGCCCAGAGGTGAGGCAATGATGCGCACAGAGAAGAGCGGAGAAAGGCGGGGAGACGAGACAAAAAGCGTGCGGGGAGAGGACGCGCCGCGCCGAGCAGCCACTGTACCTTTTGATACACAGCCTGGAAGGCAGGTAGGCCCGGTAGCCGTCGGTGATGTAGGGGTTATCTTTGAGGGACACCGGGATCTGTTCATAGGTGTACAGGCGGATGCCGCGGGGCACCAGGACCGGCCAGTACTGGTAGCTGCCCAGCTCGATGTAGTGCGCGCTCTTCAGCAGCTTCTGATGCATGATGCCCCGGCGCCGGCCCGGCCCCGCCTCCCCGGGGA